TGAAGGAAATATTTTTGTTGTATTTTACAGGCTGTTTATGTCAAGTTGATGATTAAGGAAGCAGGAATGTCCTTTGAACCAAAAGAATCAGAGTTGGACTTAACATATTCTGACAGATACACGGTATGTTTTTTTTTATGTAAATCCCAATGAATAACAATTTTTTCAGGCATTTGTGTCAGCTAATAGTATTCTTCAAACATTGCACAACATTTGAATACTTAACACTTTTGTTTTTACTTAACAGAATGTGAAGATGCCTGATGCCTATGAGAGACTTATTCTTGATGTGTTTTCTGGAAATCAAGCTCATTTTGTCAGAAGGTACAAACATCTGTTAGAAATCAGACTGTTGGGTTTATCTCAATGGTTGTAGACCACAATACAATTGATAACAAGTTGTATCGTGCTGTTCACTATGTACTATTTCAAGAACAAGTTAGTGTGAGAGGTGATTGGGACAAATTGTAACAAAAGCTTCCTTATCATATTTGACACAGAGAATTTTGAGAAATATTTGTTTTTCCAATGGAATTTGGTCACCACAATCAGTTGCACAAACGAAAACTTGTTAGAGGTCATGCAATTGATTGCAGCAATGTTTAACTCTGTCTTAAGAACAAAGGTTTTTCTTACAAATCTCCTTGCGATGGGGAGCAAAGTCTTGCTGCCATTTGTTTCAGTAAAGTTTTGCTGCCATTTGTTTCAGTAAAGTTTTGCAGTAAATTCTTGTATTATGTGTCTTGGTCTGAAAACTTAGGAACTGTTTAATTCTTTTATATTGCTATAATTTTATTGTGATTTTCTCTACATATAATAAGTTAGTAATTTTATGGGTCACACATTTTTTTATTTCCAGTGATGAGCTTGCCGAGGCCTGGAGAATTTTTACCCCTATTCTCCATCAGATTGAAAAGGAGAATGTAAAACCAATTCCTTATCAGTTTGGAAGGTATTAACTCTTGTTAATAATGAACATGTGCTAAACAAGTTCAGTTATAGCAGTCAAGCACTTTTAATGATCAATTAAAAATGAATAACAGCCAATTGTTAACAAAATGACCCTTAAGTTTGTCAAACGTAACAGTTGGTAGAGGAAGTTCAATCACTTTGTCATGGTTAGTATGTCACTGTTAGATACACTGGGACTGTATCACTGATAACTCAATGGTGAAAACACCCAATCATGCAACTAAATTTGAAGACATGAACAGATTTCTCCTCTAATTTGAAATAAATTTAATTACTTATAAATTTTTCCTAGGCAACAAATTGTACTCAATTGGTTTAGTCTTTAAGAAATTTACAGATACTTGTCCTTGTTCATTCCAAATTGCTTCAGAAATTATTTGACCACCTACACAAAGCTGAAAAGATCCTCAGTCAAACTGTATCACTCACACAGTGTGGCTTAGTCATATTTGGATTTTAGGGATTGTTGCTTTCACTTGTATTTAAGGTCAACTTAGTTCAAGGTTAAATCTTTCTTACTGATAGTTAATCCCACTTATGTATACTGATTGTTACCAAAGATGAAAGTCAGGCAAGAAAACACTCCCTACGGAAGGCCCAAAAGTCATGGTCATATAGACTGAGGCACATGAAAACTGCACATTTCCTTTAAAAGTTGATTTTTTTTTAACCCAGGACCCCCAAGAATCATAAGCATCAAATTTCTCCTTACAGTATCATCCCTGAATCAAACAGTAAGATCATAAGAATAAAGGAAATGATAGCAAACTCAAGCTATTGATTAAAAAAGTTGAAAAGATGAAAGTCAGGCAAGAAAACACTCCTTATGGAAGGCCCAGAAGTCATGGTCATATAGAGGCACATGAAAACCACACATTTCCTTTAAAAATTGATTCTTTTTTTTTTAACCCAGGACCCCCCATAATCATAAGATCATATTTCTCCTTACAGTATTATCCCTGAATCAAACAGTAAGATTATAAGAATAAAGGAAATGATAGCAAACTCAAGCTCTTCTCCTCATTAGTAACATTCAAAATGTACAGAGAACTTGCATACTGATGTTACAGAGTGTATAAAGGGCTAGGAACTCAGTATGACTGTGTATGGGAAGTTCAACTTATTTTGCATAAGTCTTTATTTTTCATATTTATATAGGCAAATATGCACATCCACTAATCATGAGGTAAATTGTCTTCGGTTTGATTTGCCATTTTTTGGCACTCATTGAGATTTTTTTCTTTCTTTCTTTCTTTTGTTTTGTTTTGTTTTTTTTTTTGACAGCCGAGGACCATTAGAATCTGATACTCTTATCAAAGACAGTGGATTTCTTTACAGTGGAACATATAAGTGGGAAAAGAAAGCTAACAAGTAGATCATTACTTTAAAACTCAGGTATGACTGCCATGATTTTATTCAATATTGGATTTTGCAGTTTGCGTAAATAATCAAAGGCTCAAATCAGCTGTAGCAGGACCAAACTGCAAGATTTTACCTGTCTGATTACCAGTTGCTGGCAATTGAACAATTAAACAGCTGATGAAAATTACACTTTAACCCTTTAACCCCTTAGTGTGACTAGCATCTAATTTCTCCTTGCAGTATCACCCCCTGAATTATGCAGTATGGTCAAGAGAATAAAGTAATTGATCACAAACTAAAGTTGCTCTTGATTGTAAAACAAATTCTCCTTGTCGGCACCTTATGAAATGTCTAGAGAACAGTATGGAGAATATGCAAACTGATGTTAGGGTGTAAAGGGTTAAATGTTACAAGCCAAATTATTACTCAGAAAATGCCAATCAATCAAAACACCTGGAAAACTCTTGGGCACCCTGCTCCTAGAGCTTAAGCTTAAGAACAAATTAACCAATGACATTGATCTGGTGAGAAAAAGGTTTTCTGAAGCCACTTTCCAACCAGAGTGATGGCACCAATCAGTTTTTTTATTCTTTGTTTATATGTAGAACACTGAAGTGTGATATTTTTGCTAATTTGCAGGTTAACCCTTTTCAGTTGATAATCAACATGAAAGTTGCAGTTGTTTCTCCTGCTGCTGATCAATTAGCGGAATTTGAAAATGACAGTTTAAGTCACGACTTTTATATTAACTCACTCATTGCGTAACTTAACCTAAATTTCTTATTACAATCCTTTTCCTGCCACTTTCACTTAAATGATTTGTTTCGTACTTCAGTTGTCTCCAGCTTTTGAGAGGTGGTCACTATTTAGCTAGTATTAGTTTCAGTTGTGTCTCTTTTTATTTGTGTTTTTATGACACTTTTTTTCTCTGAGAAATATGAAGTAGAAGTAGTCTACCCTTTGTTGCCTTACAACATATCAAGTCATCCATCTGCAAGATGAATATTTCCACATTTTCAGGGAATTATATGTGGTCAGTTGTGCTTTTTTTTCACCCCGTTTGATCTGATGCACAGGTGAAACAAACTAGGACTGTTAAATTTGGGCAGTTTCCCAGCATGTAGGGTTCAGTTGGACTATGGGTTTTTTTTTAATCAAAATGCATATATGTGGTACAGCTGAAAGTCATACCAAAACACTAATGTCAAAATATTTGGCTTTGTTTTTTTCAAGAGCCTGAGGGTAATTGCATAGATCTCAATTTAAATGTTCAAAGGTGAATCACTTTGCATACTTTTCCCCTTAAGTATGAACATAGTTTGACTTGCCCTGCAATAAGCAGACATGATACATACTGGTACGTGTTTTACAAGGTTAACTATAAGATATAAAAATGTACTATTTTAACAACAGGCGACTTTCTAGGTAGAGTTTTCCCTTGTATTTGGTTTGAATTAATTTTAGATATCATAAGAATTAATGGTGTTGCAGCCATCAAGAGTCCTGCTCAAAGCATTCATTTTAGTTACAAAAGCTGCCTCATAAGGTCAAAACCTAGCACATTTGTAATGTTAGCTATTATTCAAAGACTTAGTGTGGTAACTTAGGCTTAAGTAAATAATGTTTGATTCCCTTCTCATGAGAGAGAAGAAATAATAAAATGTGCCTTACTTCGTTGTCTGTTACTATTAATAGTTATTTTGCACATTGTTTCACTATGAAAAGTCCATGACCACATAAAGTACATGTACTCTTAAATAACAAGAAAGAAGTGACAGTTTCCAACTTTTCTATGTTGTTGCTAAAACATGACTGTTTATGGTGTAATTTCAACACAAGTGAGAAGCACACCATGGTAACTTCCATTACCTCAAAATTCCTGCTGTGAAACTGCAAAAATGTTTAAGATACATTTACCGTGTTTTTCAGTTGTTGAGGCAAACACTAAAGTAAAACACAGTCATGAGTCCATGCCAACACATATGTGGTTTGTATCCTTGCCACTTGAAGCCTGTTTTTTCAATACACAATTCCAAGCAAAACAGCTCATTAATAACAACAAGATAATGGCAGCTGGCAAGTACTTAACAGTAATTTACCTATTAGGTATAGTGTTTGTTAAGCACATGGAGCACCTTTGTAATGCTGTGAGGTCAATTCAACCCAATATAAATCAATCTATCCTGCTGGTGTTGCAATAAACTCTCTCTCCAAAAAAATGGCTATCAGTTGATATCCAAGAAGGTTACGATTCTTCCAAAGGAGGACCAAATGCTTCAATTGTTTCTGTAACCAGAGTCAAATGGTCAAGGAAACCATTTGCACAGACTCTCAATGTCTTAGCTTCAGGGGATGATATTGTTCTGTAGGAATGAAAAGTGCTGGTCACACAAACAGTATCATGTCTTCCTGTAGGAAGTCTTTTTTTACAGGCCTTTTTTCCCCCTAAATTACCAGCACAGAGAAAGAACAAACTGCAAGGGATTTGTTGAATCTTAATGCAAAGGGGTGGGGAGTGGAATATGACAAAAGAGACAATCACTATCTGTGTTCATGGTAGTTCATTTGATCACCTAAGAAGAGGGCTGTAAATAAACCAAAACCTTAGAGTATACCTGCCTGCATCCTGGTTGGTAGGATGACGTAGACTAACAATTATTTTTACACAGAAAGGTAAAATAAATCCTAAAACTCTCTACAGTTGTCAGTCCAATTCATTAACTGTAAGCTGGTTATATTCTAATATATGAATAATTATTGATTATCTCGTCATACAGCCGCTTACGATGTGGATCAATAAGAGGAGAAGATAGTGATTGGTTACTTATTGTGTGATTCACGACTTAGAACATCCCCATCCTTTTTAACTTTAATATCTTGTAGCAACTTGATAAAGCTTGATAAAAACGTAACTATGTTACAAACAGCGGTTGTAGCAAAAACAAAGACCGAAGATCTGAAAACGAATACGTATCGCGACTAAATCACTATTAGAGGGATTAAAACCGGAGCTAGACGTTTCTTGCAAGAAACCATAACAAGATCATGTCAAATAAAGAAAATAAAGGAGTCTTCATTATCAAGTCTTAGCTTTCGAGGGTTTTCAATTACGCTACAACCTACAAACAGTTGAGGTTGATCCAAAGGTCCACTTTCCTTTCCAGGAAAAGAGCTTTCAAAAGTAATGCACAGTGAAACAAGTACATACACAGATGGAAAAGTGCTAAATTTGCAACACTTACACGTATAACACATTGTCTTTCACTGTTAGCTGTTTCTTGGCTCCGCCACGTTTTGGTTCCGGATCAACGGAGAGAGAATTGCGAACAATTTGCGCCTCAGACTCGGTCGAAAAAGGCACAGTAAGTTCCCTGAAAAAAAGATTAAGAAATTCATTGAAAACAATTTTCAAACCAAACAAAACGGCAGTTCCTACTATAACTTGAAATATAAAAACCTCACAAACTCACAGCTTCAATTCCGCCATCTTGTCCAGGTGAGGCAATGACCGTGGGCTCAGCCGAAACGCGAAGAGCTCCTCGTGCTTCCTGGCTGGTCACGCGAATTTTTCCCCAGCAAAATGCAACCATTGATAAATTTGAACGTATTTTCCTTTTTACTTAGCACTCACAGTTGATAATGCGTGGGTAAGTAACTAATAATAACTCTTTTAGTTCATTTTGTATGGTGGTTTTTTGTTCAATCGAGGGAGAAGTGTGCTCCAGAAACCACATTACTTAACCATTGCAAAGTTGTTTTCAAGTGTTCGAAAAATTTGACCACGGATGCCACCAACTTGAATCTTACTTAGCAACCTTGTCGCCCTCTGTGTTGTTGGAAAATAGTACTCCCACTCCTATTTTTCAAATAGAGTATTATTTTTTGTTTCCTAAAGGAGACATAATCTTTATTTGTGCTCTTTAAAAAATACAATTTTGCAATAAAGTTTTCATAAAATGTAAACTTTAAACTTCAAGCTGGCAAAGTGATAATCTCAAATTAGTGCTGTAACAGCACTAAGAAAAGGGTTTCTAATGTATTATGAATGACATTTGTCCATCAATACTGACAATACTATGATTACAACAGTGCTTAAAGGTAATAGATTTTGATGAGAGCTTTGTATGGATGTTTCGTACTTACATATGAACCACAAGTGATTCCAGTTCTTTGTAGTCAAAATATTGATGATAATGATAGTCCTGATGAGATACCTTTATGCAAACACAAATACATTTACACATACTTATTGAGTTTCAAATAGTAAGCTCCTCAAAGAAGATGATTTAGAGAGATTTACCATGATCTTTTACTTACATTTGATAAAATTATTTGATCTAATTGAAGTATTAAATAAGGCTTCATTAACAAAACCCATTTAATTCTTCTGACATAAATTTCTTGGACTTTTTTTCAAAAATGATAGAGTAAATTCCTTCTGTTGAAAATAGCTACAAAAATGATAAATTCAGTGCTGAAAATGAACCCTTACTCTTGATAAAAATCATATGATTTATTTGTAATTTAGGCTAAGAATTAAAAATAACCAACAGGAAGTAACAAACAGGATCTGTGGCAATGGAAGTAATTTTTAAGCTTGAGTCAAACTTGCATACCTGCTATGAATTAATTTTGGTTATAGTTGTGGCAGTTACATCATCAGCTACATCAAATGTGAGGTTATAGTCTATTTTCAGTCAGTTACTTTTAGAATTGTTATAGCATAAAGATGATGAAATATCTCGAGAATTATTTTTTTGGGTAGGTGATTTTTACTTAAATTTGAGATTTTTTTCCGTTGTCATGTGTGAAGTATCAATTCAATTATCATAAAAATTGTGAAAAACGTTCTTTTTTCTTCCAATGTTGAAATTTTTGACGATTTAACCGAAATAATTCTCACACGATGCTATAATAGGTCATCAGCTGTATGAAAATTGACGTTTTATTCTATTTCCGCCATTTCTTTCTGATAAAACACATAAAACTTATTGTCATAAATCTCTAAAATCCTTTGTGCATCAGCTGCTTCGTACGTAGTTCATCAGGATTAATTTAGTATAGTCCGCGAAAGGTAGTCATACCTACCTATTTTTAGCAAGTTAATACGTGAAACAGTTTCAAAATTGAGATCATGATACAGTTAAACTTTCATTTTTTTCTTAGAAGATGAAGTTTCTATTCGAAAACAAAGAACCCTTCACACACGTCCGAACTATGACGTCACAACGAACTGGTTTGTTTACGTCTTGTGGTTTCCAAGACGCCACGGGAAAGCGCGCTGATTGGTTAGAAATCACTTGGCAACGACGCAACGAAACAACATCAAATGCGGCTGACAAAAGAGAAAGCAATTTATGAGGCTTGATTACTTCGTAGCTTCAAAACGAACAGAATACTGGCTTCGATCTTAACATTTATAACGTATGATGCTCACAACTAGTCAAAGAAAGCCATTAGCGGTTTCAAAGAGAGGAACTGGAGGAGATGGGATTTATATGGACCGAAACGGTAATGCGGATGTGTTACCTCCATTGAAACCGTCAACGAAGGGTAATGTGAAGGCTCACGAATCGAACGTTTCTGGAGCTTTACCGCTTGTTGGAGGAGTACAAGTACAACAACTATTTGAGGAAGAAACTAACCAACAAAACAAAGGAAAGGTTGCCAACGAAATACAAGGCCTTCCATCTGTTCATCGGCCAGTATCTTACTCAGGGAATGCTTCTCCAGCGTCAGGAAGGAGATCTAGCTTGAACGGATCGGGATCGCTGAAATCTAGAGGATTACCCATGGCGCCGGAGCAGGCAATGAAACAATTCATGCACAAGCTAACCAGCTACGAACATCATGAGATCTTTAATTATCCTCAAATCTGGTTTGTTGGTCCAAATGCGAAGAAACGTCAGGGTGTGGTTGGTGGTGCGAATAACGGAGGCTATGATGATGATCAGGGTTCTTACATTCAAGTTCCACATGATCATATTGCTTACCGCTACGAAGTTGTCAAGATTATCGGTAAGGGAAGCTTCGGGCAGGTTGTGAAAGCTTACGATCACAAGACTCAGACAAATGTGGCTTTGAAAATGGTCCGTAACGAGAAGCGATTCCACCGACAAGCTCAGGAAGAAATCAGGATTCTAGAACATCTGAAAAAGCAAGACAAAGACAACGGCCACAATATTATTCACATGCTGGAACATTTCAAATTTCGCGAACACGTTTGCATGACTTTCGAGTTGTTGAGCATGAACCTGTACGAACTCATAAAGAAAAACAAATTCCAAGGGTTTAGTCTACAACTGGTGCGGAAGTTCGCACACTCGATTCTTCAATGTAGTGACGCACTACACCGAAATCGTATTATTCATTGTGATTTGAAACCAGAGAACATTCTTCTCAAACAGCAAGGACGGAGTGGAATTAAAGTGATTGATTTTGGCTCTAGTTGCTATGAACATCAGCGTATTTACACGTACATTCAAAGCCGATTTTACCGTGCGCCTGAAGTGATTCTTGGAGCAAAGTATGGTATGCCAATAGACATGTGGAGCTTTGGATGTATTTTAGCTGAACTTTTGACAGGATATCCTTTGTTTCCCGGTGAAGATGAAGGAGACCAGCTTGCTTGCATTATTGAACTACTTGGCATGCCTCCTCAGAAACTATTAGAAAACTCTAAGCGGGACAAGACGTTTATTAATTCGAAAGGACATCCAAGGTATTGTACAGCAACAACTCTTCCAGATGGAAGCACAGTTTTGACTGGTGGTCGTTCTCGACACGGTAAGACGCGAGGCCCTCCTGGCTCGAAAAAATGGCAAACGGCTTTGAAGGGCTGTGAAGATGCTCAGTTCATCGATTTTCTAAAGCGATGTTTAGAATGGGACCCTTCTCAGCGTATGACTCCATCACAAGCCCTTCGTCATCCATGGCTTCGAAGGCGCTTGCCTCGAGCACCCGAATCGAACGCGTCAGTGGAGAAATCATACCACCAGCGTAATTCAGGCTCGGGAGTCGCCAAGCTTCCGCCAGCTGCCCCAACATCAGGGAAAACCAAGCCACGAAGACAAATCGAAGAGATCTTGGACGATGGTCGTGGGGTAACAGACTCTGCTAAACTTAACACCAGAACTGTGTTACCAAAAATAGTGGGAAGATAATTTTACTAGTCTTGCAAGAAGTACACGATTTTCTAAGCCCTTGATAAAAATCGAATATTTTTAACACCTTGCTTTTGTTATCAAGGTGACAACTGACTTTACTTTGCGAGAAAATTTTATTTTTTACCTCTCTTCGTTGTATTTTTTAGGAATTCTTAGAGTGTTTTAGGTTAATTACACCTTCAGAGGTAATTGAACGATGAACTGGTTCCTTTCAAATGTAAATCTTCTCTCCTCATACGTGTACGTTTGCGCAACAATGCTTACTAGGCGTTAGCTTTAAGCGAATTTTATTTACTGTTTTTGTCAAGGAAAGAATTCTATGATCTACCAAATAATAAGTTATAGAGAACTACGTGGTAAAACACCCTGTATATACGAGTGAAGTTAGGTGTTATTGTTATTATGCGACTTGTATATAAAATTTAGACAATTCCTATTCATGTTCGTGAAATTAACAAGAGGAATGTTGTTTATCCCATACATTTATGTGAGATAGGGAGGAAAAGAATAAATATTTTAACTTTTCCAAAAAATTTTGTTTGATTCCTTGTAGATTGCTGTTGGAGTCGGACGTTTGTACTGTCATTTAAGTGGGAATGTGTCATTTCTAAAGATAGCTTAGTCGAGAATTTGCTTTGTTTTCCACGTCCCAGCTGGACACATAGGGATTCGTGTACTTGGTGAAACTTGATGAGCCTGTTCAAAAGCGACAGCATGATTACTGGTAGAAATCCCAAATAAGAAAACTTACTTAGAGAGCAACATTCTCGAAACTCTTCAAATTTCTCGTATTCTGGAGCCAGAATTTCATCTCGAGAAGTCTATCGCGATCTCCGAGGGTTCTTTGTGTAAAAGCTTCATATCTATCAATTACACAACAAAATTACTTCGAGATAACTTGGCCGCCAGCCTAAAATGCGTTAAATTACTCCGCGAATTTAAGACAAGTTAGCAAACGGGCTTGCATAAAGAATTTATATGTAGCGAAATTGTCTTCAAAGTTATAACTTCCATACAGGAGCATGCGTTGCAATTTTCTGTGCTACACACCAACTGAACTTCAGTATTAAGCAAATTCTAAAAATCCATTTTATAATGCTACTAGGCTCATAAATGCAGTGGAGGATTGCAGAAAGTAAACATTGACTTTATTTTACTCGTCTTCCCAAAACCTGTCGCACACTAACATTGCAATAAATATTGAACAGAATAAACGACACAAGTTTCAACTTTGGCTTCCACTGGGCTCGTTTAAAAAGTGGGGGAGGGACGGGAAAGGGAATAATCTCGACAAATTTTCTTAGATTAGCTCTTTAAACGGCTTCAATTGATAACAAGTTCAATGATGCACCATGTGAGGGTAGAAAAAGGGAAATTTATTTGTGCCCAGAAAAAGAAAGTATGCAAATG